GAAAAGAATCGAAAAGAATCGAAAAGAATCGAAAAGAATCGAAAAGAATCGAAAAGAATCGAAAAGAATCGAAAAGAATCGAAAAGAATCGAAAAGAATCGAAAAGAATCGAAAAGAATCGAAAAGAATCGAAAAGAATCGAAAAGAATCGAAAAGAATCGAAAAGAATCGAAAAGAATCGAAAAGAATCGAAAAGAATCGAAAAGAATCGAAAAGAATCGAAAAGAATCGAAAAGAATCGAAAAGAATCGAAAAGAATCGAAAAGAATCGAAAAGAATCGAAAAGAATCGAAAAGAATCGAAAAGAATCGAAAAGAATCGAAAAGAATCGAAAAGAATCGAAAAGAATCGAAAAGAATCGAAAAGAATCGAAAAGAATCGAAAAGAATCGAAAAGAATCGAAAAGAATCGAAAAGAATCGAAAAGAATCGAAAAGAATCGAAAAGAATCGAAAAGAATCGAAAAGAATCGAAAAGAATCGAAAAGAATCGAAAAGAATCGAAAAGAATCGAAAAGAATCGAAAAGAATCGAAAAGAATCGAAAAGAATCGAAAAGAATCGAAAAGAATCGAAAAGAATCGAAAAGAATCGAAAAGAATCGAAAAGAATCGAAAAGAATCGAAAAGAATCGAAAAGAATCGAAAAGAATCGAAAAGAATCGAAAAGAATCGAAAAGAATCGAAAAGAATCGAAAAGAATCGAAAAGAATCGAAAAGAATCGAAAAGAATCGAAAAGAATCGAAAAGAATCGAAAAGAATCGAAAAGAATCGAAAAGAATCGAAAAGAATCGAAAAGAATCGAGAAGAACTGAAAAGAATCCAAAATAATTGATTAATAAAAAATAATCGATTAATCGAAAAGAATCTATTAATCGAAAAGAATCGATTAATCTAAAAGATTTGATTAATCTAAAAGATTCGATTAATCAAGAAGAATCGATTAATCTAAGAGAATCGACTGATCAAAAAGAATCGACTAATCAAAAAGAATCGATTTATCAAAAGTAATCCGTTAATCAAAAAGAATCAATCGTTCTAAAATAATTGATTAATCGAAAATAAATTTATAGAAATCTACCAAGAGAAAATTGTTTACTAAAATTAGCTGAAAATCTACTAAAAAAGCAGAAATCTACTAAATATGACAACGTTGAATTGGAGACCCCTAGTCAGAATGACCTTTGACCTAGCACAATGACTAATCGTAAGACCAAGCGAAGTTAACTGTCGTGACGTAATCTCCGTGCGATGCACAAAATGGTGCTAAAAATAGTGTGGTTTCAGGCAGGCACACTATTTGTTTCACGGATCTATTGACCTTTCTTTTTAACTATCGAAAACCTCTCGCGTTCAATCAACAGATTGAACCGATAGGCGTATTCTGCCTGAGAGCAGTGGTGTACCAAAACTTAGAGATTAATACGTATAAAAATAAATATATTAAATTAAATTTGTATTTTTGAGTTATTTGTGTTACTCTTAAAGAATGTGATTTTATGAAATTTAACTAGATATTCACTGCACAAATGAACCAATGGAGAAACCGCCCCTGTTATAGTCTATATTTATGTATGAGTGACTAATAAAACAGCATTTCTAATGCAAAACTTAGTACGGTCATTTTAAATATTTTACAGAATAATCTAAATATTTCCTTAAATTGTAATAAATGTACCTGAGCTATTACAAGTTTTACGTCTTTTATTGGTCCTTTATAAACATAAGCTGTACAGAACAATAGAAAAAGGTTTGGACCGGCCAAAAGCACTGTGTATTAAAGATTACATAGCCGTATCTTAAGATTATTTTCAATAAGTACCTATTTGCCAATTTTGTTTTATTTTAATTCCAAGAATTTCTTACATTACTGTATTCCAATTATAAGTAGATAAATACCTTCCCAACAAATTTCACCGAAAATGCGATTATAGGTTTTCCATTTAGTAAGGAGGTCCAAGTTGTGTATTCTTGTCAGTTTACTAAATGTCGTTTAGTTGCAACTTGCAAGGTGAAGTGTGAATTTTAGTGTAATCATGGAAAATTTGGAAGGGCCGCGTAAACGACAAAAAATCGGTCCTTTAACAGTTAATGAAAAAACATTAATATTTAATTGTTTTAAATCATTTACAGACAAACATTTATGAAAAAGTGTTGATGGCACAGTGGAATTAGTTAGTAGTACGCTTGGTGTTGGGAAATCTACGATTTACAGAGTTGTTAAAGAAGAGAAATGTGGCGAGTTTCAAACAGCACGTAAAGCTCCAGGAAAACCAAAATTTCAATTAGAAAATCTTTTGAAAGAAAAACTTCGAAGGAAATTGCATGCGTTCTTCTTTAGAAAAGAATTTCCGACAGTAGACAAAGTTCTTGCCACGGTTCGAGATGATAAGGATTACCCTGAAATGAGTCGAAGCACACTATGGAAAGTTTTAAAAGAAATAGGTTTTCTATGGAAAAAGCATTCCAGAAAGTCTATTTTAATAGAAAGAAGCGATATTGTAGTATGGAGAAGAAATTACCTAAGGACTATAAAAGAAATGAGAAAGAAATATATTTTTTCTACACCCGTATTATAATAATGCACTTATATGCCCAAAATCCGTTTCATAATGATACCCATTATGATACAGATTTTTCATTACGATACAGATTTTTAATCAATAGAAACCTACAATTTTTCAATCAAGCATGCTGTTTGACGTTTGTCCTAGGTTCCTATGTAATTATTTTAGTTGTCAAAACGTATTAAATTTTCGTAGGTAGCTAAACTTCGATAATTATAATATTAAAATGTCTGATATTAGCGATATAGAAGACTCCTCCACACATATCGGAGAAAGCAGAAAATACAGTACAAAATATTTTACCGCAAAAATCTAGGGAAATACCAATACCTGAAGTAATACCATTAATTACAATTTTGTAGAATTTTTTATAGAATTACGAGTAATTACTGTTATTGTGTTCAATACCAATATAAATATAATATTTATAGGTCTTGATTATTTATCGGGTGTAGAAAAAATAGCGTATGCAACTCTCATGTAATGGTTATTAAAACACTCGCATAAACCATACGAAACTCGCCTTTGGCTCGTTTCGTATCCCGGTTAATGCTCGTGTATTAATAACCATCATTACATGATCGTTGCATAATATACTATTATTTAGATGAAACATGGATCAACGAGGGACATAAACCAAATAAATTTTGGCAAGATGAAACTGTTACAAGTCGAAGACAGGCTTTTTTAAATAATTTATCTACTGGTTTAAATCCACCATCAGGAAAGGGGCGCAGACTAATAATAGTACACATCGGTAGTTCAAACGGTTTTGTTAAAGGTGGTTTATTGACTTTTGAATCTACTCGTACCGGTGACTACTATGAGGACATGAATGCTGATGTCTTTAAAGAGTGGTTCGAACAAATTATAGATCTTCTTCCTCAGAACTGTATAATAATAATGGATAATGCAAGTTATCACTCGAGACTTATAGAAAAAATGCCCACAACCAAGTGGTTAAAAAAAGATTTACAGAATTGGCTAAATTCAAAGAATATTAAGTTCCATCCCGGTTCTGTGAGAAAAGAACTGTATCATTTGTGTTCCCTTTATAAAGAGAAATTAAAAAAATATGAAATTGATGAAATTGCAAAAAATCGTGGGATGACGGTGGTTAGATCACCACCATAAAATTGCGAAGTAAACCCGATTGAACTGATATGGGCACAGATAAAGGGAGAAATTTCAAGAAAAAATAATTCTTTTAAAATGAGTGATGTTAAACCGTTGTTTTTGGAGGCTGTAAATAATGTGAAGCCTGAAAACTGGGAAAAGGCAGTAAATCATACGATTAAAGAAGAAGAGAAAATGTGGAAGTTGGACAATATTACTGATGAAATGATCGAGCCACTCATTGTAAATATTGGTTGCGACAGTTCATCTTCTGATTTCGATTCTGATTTGGATTTGTAGGTAAGAAGTAGTTTTTATATTAAAATTATTATTTATGAACGTAACGTTGTTTAAAAGTCAAAGTTTAAACCCTTATCCCTACATAACCCGTTTGACACAATGTTCTTAACATACCTTGTGGAAAAATAAAAAATTTTAGAAAAAATTGCACTTTTGTACCTTCAGCTGTTTAGAAGTCATAAGCAGGTTAATTAGTTGAAAATATAAGTGTATACTCGAGGAATAACTTCAAAAAATATTTTAACTGTCTACTAAAAGAAGTGGTACGCCTATGGATTACGAACGCTTTATTATTTTAATACTCTCATACATAAAAATAGACTATAAGCTGTTACCACATCTTGCTTCCAACGCTTATAACCTTACTTGATTTATTGGGTATCTATTTTATCTGAGATAATCATATTTTATTTTTGTCCTAGAGACATTTCATACTGTTTACTACGTTTTTGTTGGGAATAAATACAATAAATTTTTACTTTATAATTGTAAGTTTGATCAATGCTGTATTCGTATTGAAGCCTTAAATTTCATACACTGAAGATCTATTGTATAGTGTTAGTTTTATTTCCCATTTTGTTTTTAATGTTTGTTTGACTTAGGTTGGGGACAAGAAACTTAGTTAATTGGCATATTCAAATCAAACTGTTTTATTACTATAAATTAGGTACTAAATGGACTATGTCTTCTGCACTTCGAGCGAAACAGGCTTACAAAATGCCGTCCATTAGACGGTAGAAACCTTTGATCGTCATCAATTGCTGTATCGTGATGACAGGATAGAGAGGAATCTCAACCGCAGCAATTTAGGTACAATGGTCACCAATTAAGTCAGATTTAACTCTTTTGATATATTTTTATGGGGAAATTTAAAAATGAAATACGAATACCAAAATAGACAAAAATATCAAAAAACTGAAAACGATTGTAGATGGCGCAGATAATTCTTGAATTTATTGAATGAGTTCGGGAGGAGTTAAGTGCATAAAGATGGAATAAAAAAATAAACATAGTACTTACTTTTGGAAAGGAGCTGGGCCTATGGCATCTGTGGTCCCGGTGGTCCGGCTCCATGCGTGCAGGGCCGGGGTGAGGGCGGCTGAGGGGCAGCCGGTGGGCAGCCAACTGTGAGCAGCCGGCGGGGGGCAGCCGCCGGGCAACCTCTAGCCGAGCTCCATGGGCGAGCTCTGCCCCCGCCCCATTGCGCCCACACTCACCCCCACATACAATTCAAAACTGAAATAAAAAAATATATATTAAAAAAGAAACCTTTGATAGTATTATAAAGACTAGCGCACCTTATATTGGAGCGCAATGTAACGCTTTAAAAAAATAGTCCTGGCTCGTTTTAGTGCATTTTACGAGAATGGAATGAATAATTTCCAGCCTTACGTATAGTGCACGGAAAAAAAATTGTAGAAGAAATTTCTACAATTATAGATTTTTTCTCTACAATAAATAGTACATATAGGGACAGGGACAATTTGTAGTAAAAATTTCCAAATATTTGTGGAGAATGTATTGTAGAGTTATTATCTACAATATTCAGTAAAAATATCCAAATGCATCATAAGAATTGTTCTAAAAATTGTTATAATTTTTGCTATTCATTGTATGAATTTATATTAAAAATGTATTGCGTATTATGAAAATAAATACGAAAATTTTACACAATAAATAGTAAAAATTCATACAAATTGTATTAATTTTTAATAAAACTTGTAGTAGTATTCCATAATTATTATAATTATAACCTAGAAAAAATGTTCCTTAATAAAATATTCAATTTATTGTTTTAATGTAAAAGATACAAAGTCTTAATTACATTATGTAATAAATAACAGTAATAATAGCACCCTCAGTATCAGTTGGCTTTTCTGCACCTGAAAAATATGAAATAAAAATTAACAATTGAACTGTTCATACCCTTAAGACGGGGATATTTATCACCTTTACACTGATTTGGATATTAAATGACTAAGTCAGATAACTAACAAAAATGAGAAAGTAGGTATGTCACAAATAAGACAAAAAAAATCATTGAATTTGGCACAAAATTCGATCTTGGGCACAACATTCGATCGTTGGCCACAACTATTTTTTTTAAAATAATCTACTAAGGTTATTTAAATTAGTTATCTAAAGGTAAATTATTCAAAAACAATAAATGTACTTACCACCAATTGAATTTATTATTAAAATTTTCTCAAACGCATCGGTGCTTATAATATAATAATGTGTTATAGGTACTCGTATATGTACCATGCTTTGTTATGTGAACATGGCGAACGGCTACTGCTGTCTGGCCATTTATGATCGACGTCAGAAAACGTTGGCCAATAGCAGAATTCTGTTTTGTTCACATGACTTAGAATTTCTACAATATTATAGAATATTTTTAAACAAAATTGAATATTTTTCATAATAAGGAATGTAAATTATTACTATTTTTTGTAGAAAAAATTACTATTTTTTGTAGAGATAATTATTAATATTTGTACAAATTTTTTCAGAAGTTAGTAGTAGTAATTACGATAATTGTAATAAATTTCTACTTCTACAAACAATAGTAAAATATACTAAACATTGTGGAATTCTTTCCTATTGTTGTAGCATTTTATTCGACAATTCAATTGCTACAATAGTGAATAGTTTTGAACTATAAATTGTAGTAAAATTTTCTACAAATTGTTAAGTATTTTTCTACAAGTCTACTACTACAACATTGTAGTAAAATTTTCTAGTCACATTTTTTTCCGTGTGGGCTATGATTTTGATAATTTGTTTAGTTTTTTATTTAATGTCTTATATCATTAGTTTTTCTGTGAAATATTGTAAGTTCGTGTTGAGTGGTTTGTATTTGACAGCCCGCTTGATTAGTTTTCAAAAATGACAAGCATTTTTTAACAGATACGACAGTTGCTCTTAAAACGCACCTTGTATGAAGAATGAAAAGATAGGCATCATAAAAATAACATCATAGTTCAATAGTTTTTATTTCCTAATTTTAAAAAATAAAATAAAAATCATGTTTTAATTACAAAGAACACAATATAAAACAATACAAAGTTATTTTTAGAAACGAGTCATTTCACCAACAAATAACAAGCTTAATAAATCCGCTTAACAAAAAAAAAGCGTTAAAACAATAGGTTTCTCTTTCTTAATAACTCATCTATCTATCTCTTCATATAAGTACATTTCTGTTACTCTCATTAAGGCAAGCAAATAAACTGTTCAACTGAATTTGCAAGCAAAGTCGTTGTCTCTCACGCCAAGATCATACGATATTCAATCAGCCAATAGAAATTCGAGAGACGCTAAAATGGTGGTTCCCATCTTATCGAGACTGAGGCCCATAGGGGTAAACTCGTAGCGTAGCAAAAACGAGAAATGATTTAACTTGGAACGAAAGACCGAAAGCCGATAGTAGTATTAGGACGTTGAATTTTTTGTTTTGTGAAGCATTGGCATTACTTAGGTTCAACCATATAATGATTTTCACAAGCCTTGATTTTTAAAACCATTCTATATCGCCTTTTGATTAGGGTTTAAAAACTTGTTCGAGCAATTTTTCCAATAATAATTGGCCCCTTTACCTCTTAAGCCTGCTCATGTAAAATATTTGGGCTCCTTATTTCGCCTATTTATAGTATATTATTAAAGGACAGAAGGATGAGTATTGCAACTATGTTAAAAGAAATAAATTGACTTTCAGTTCAGAATTATGTTGAGTACATGACTGATATTTATTTATAAAATAAAAATGACATTACCATCGCATCAGATCTATTAGAAAAAATTCAATATAATTCGTAATAGTACAACTATAATACAAGAAGCCAATCTGACTTTCATGTACGGTAAGCCATCACTAAAAGTTCCCAAATTATAATTTGAATTAAAGATTTAATAGACTGCCTACAGAAATTAAAAAAAAAAAACAATAAATGTATTCAAAAGTAACCTCAAACAATACTTGATATATAAACAAAACGGATATACTTTCTTGTGATAATACTCTTTAAACCTGCCCTTTTTAAGTATTTCCCTTAATTTATTGTTATTTTACTCCTCGTTTTACTACTTACTATATTTAAATTATTAATAGTTTTGAGACGATAGGTTATAGCAACTTATAGCCACAAAACTATTTTTGTGTTGAAGTAGATCCATAGAGAGCAATGTAATTTACAAAGGCGTTCTTTCAACATACAAATAAATGACAACTTTATAATTAAAATGAAAAACAACAAAATACCTCGGTATCATATTTGATCAAAATTTGAAATGGGTTGATTACATTAAGTCATTAAAATCCCAAGGTAAGAAGATTCATTTTTAAATTTTATGAATTGAGGAAATTTTTGACCAGCAGTATACTAATTTATTATTTACAATTATATATTTACAATCTGTTGAATATGTAAACGAGCATTATATCCTACCTCTCTTTTATATAATAAAAAAGTGCTTTGTCTTGCTACCTTTATTTATGGAAAGCCCTAATTGAGATACATTACAAATTATTTGCAATAAATATCAAAAGAAGCATGTATTTTTAAATAATTTGACATTTAAGAGCCATTCACACATCACAAATGACATCTTGATACTTGACAGGCACAGCCAAGCATTATTCTGATTTTTGCCAAATAAAATGGCCGGTTAATTATTCTATGGGGTTGCGACAGAGAGCTAGTAAATTTGATGAAGGTGTTTTTGTGGCTAGGGGCGAAATAGTAGTACGCTTAAGTTAGCACCACCATAAAAAAGTAATTTTTAAGAAACTGCTTATATATTTTTTATAAATTGGCAGGCTTGGCGACTAATTTCGAATAAAAATAGTCTTCAAAATCGCTATAGTTGCAAATATGAAGGTCACCACCCGCCTTAGAAATTTCACCTTTACTATCAACAGCTGTTGTTTGACAGGTCGTTAGAGAATGTTTGCATTTTATGGAATGTAAAGAATCTTAGAAATGTTGACGTTAGAAATAGTTGGAATTCCTAAAATTGTTACATAAGAAATGCATAAGCGGATTTTAAGAAAATTGATATTAAAGTAGTTAGAATGAACCGAAAATTCTGAAAATCAATAGGGTTCAAAGTTAGAAGTAATTATTCAAGAAAATCAAAACCGCAAGTCAATCAGAACTTTTGTTTTAGAGTTATTGTGCCGGCATACATACATACAGACGATCAGACGAAACATTTTTTTTTGCATTTTCGGACTCAGAATGATCGGAACATAAAAAAAAGTTTTAAAAAATGGGGGTAAGAAAATTTTTTCGTCTGTACAAATGCAATACTGAGGCCCCATAGGAAGGGCCTCATTAATTTAACACCGTTACTCACGTAACCAAGCCAAACGTAAAGCTTTGGTCTAAGCAACATAATTATTTTTGCCGTTGAACAGTACACTTTAATTTTCTACTTCTTTCTTGGGAGATTCTCGCAACACAATAAGATGTTGTAAGTCAACGTTTACTTACAAAATATTATGTAAACTAGTAGATTAAGTACAGTGTTCACAAATGTTAAAGTTTACGTTAGAGGTTATCAATCAATCAATCAATCAATCAATCAATCACACATTTTGAAATTGAGGTTGAATAAAAATTAAAAAAAAAATCATTTTAATTTTCTAAATAAATTTTATTATTTATAAAAGGTATGGTGTGTATTTTTGAAATGATCGAATAGCTAATTGTATAAAGATGATCTGTATCTATCTATATTTTGTATTATTTGATAACAACGCTAAATGAAAAAGATATATTAAATCTAAAAGAGACATGGTGGAAAGGTGTTCATGACATGATTTAAGTGAGCTCTTATATTCAACTTTTTTAATCCAATTAGGGGAGTTTCATCTCTTAATTTTTTAAAGTAGTTGAATTTGTGTCTACCAAAATATGCAATCTAAATTGACTACAAGTTATAAAATTATTCTTTTCTAAATTTGTTATCGCATCAGTATCAAAATGATGTTGAACATTATGAAACTGGTTCTGAAAAATTCATTAAATTATGAATTGCGAAAAAACAAATAATAATAAACCTTTTTTTAG